AAAGAGACAAAGCTTTTGAGCTTAGACAGAGCTCATCTTCAGGTCTTCTTCTGTGTAAGCTCAAAAGCTTGTCTCTTTCACCTACAGAAGTTAGTCCAATAAAAGTTATTATTATGACACTCTACCTCAGAATAACACTCTGGAACCTCCATATTCAATACTATCATATAATTATATGTTTTGTACGAAGTATGCCTTGTGAGGTATCATTGGAAAAGTCTTGATCTTTTGAACATTAATATCTTGTTGGATTGTATGTGCTCTCATTATATGTGAGGCTATGAAGTATTGCTATATATGTTACCGAAATATGTTGTGAGAACACACACAACCAGCCTTTCAGTTACAACAGTGGAGTGGCCAGACATCAGTTAACCGCTCATCAATACCCATCAAAGAAAGAATTCATAATCCCACAGTCTATGCAATGGAGACTTTTCAAAGAGAGCACGTATGCAATGGAGACTGCTTGACCAATGGGTACCAACTGACTCCCAAGTCACAGCATAGATATTTCCAGCAAGCTGGAAAAGGGGAAGTGACATCAATTGGCCTCTCTCCCTCCCCTCAACACCTGGAGGAATATCTGGAGGACAAAGACTTTGAATGGGGAGGGTGGTCCCAGGGTGGAAAAGTCTCACACTGTGTATTGAGGATCTGTAACTTGCTTGTACCATCTATCAGGGTGAGACACTGCTTGATTCAAATCCTGTTTAATTTGTAGAACTTAGACTGCAAATTTATTTTTATTTCTTAAGTAACCAACTTTGATCACTACACTTGCTCCTTATAATCGCCTAAAAATCTATCGCTGTGTAGTTAATAAATCTGTTTTATATTTTAGCTAAAAGTGTGTTTTGGTTGAATGGCTTGGGGATCTCAGCTAAGTTTACAAGGCTACTGTGTGTCCACTCCATACTGAGGGAGTGGCAAACTCGATAACGAACTAACACTGGCCAGGCTTCTGATCAGAGCAAGACAGTACAGTTCTGAGGTGCAAGGCCAGGGAGCTGGGGGGAATTGGCTGGAGTCTCTTTATTGATGGTTCATGAATAGCTGGGAGAGCATTCATGTAACTCAGTTGGGTTTGTCCCTGCCTGACATCAGCATCACAGTGAGAGGCAACCCAGGCTGGTGGGTTTGGGAGGGCTCAGCAGTACCCCAGCCCAGGTTGCACCCTGGGGACCCTGTCACAATTATCTCACCCACCTTGTCTCTCTAATATCCTGGAACCAACATGGCTACAACAACACTGCAAACTACATAAGACAGATGCAGACAGAGCCTTAGATGCATTGCAGATAAGTTTGTACACAAACCTACAACTCTAACTCACATGAGTAATTCCACTGACTACTCACTGGAGTAAAGACTACAGGATCTCACTGTTTGAAAGCTGCAGCATGTGCTCCCCAGAGCAAATATGAGGCAACTGGGAGTGTAGGAGCCCAGACATGGCCCCAACCTGTGACTGTGCTCTGTTGGCACCAAGCAGGACTTCTGGGTGCATTATACGGATGTAAAGCCTACTGCTTTGGAGAGAGTTAGGCCTAATCTTGCCTGGCTTTTGTATAGGTGCATGGGGTTAAGCGTGAAAAATGAAGATCTCTACATCTTCTCCTCCTTCCTTATATCCTGCACAGGGGCATCTAGAAATCAGTCCTTTGAACGAGACAGGATTTTTCCACTCCCTTTTTTGGTTTGGTAAATCTAAGCAATTTAAAATGTGCAATGCAGACACTTCTTAACTATTTATATTACTGTGTGAAAGTGTTCTTCAGACTATCAAATGTTATTGGTATATGCAACCCACACACATTGTCTGAAAGTTTATATATCTGCTATATATACACATAATGCAGAGAGCCATAATAATTTGGGCGGCTCGATAATGGTGTGTTTACTGATTCATACTCAAGAAACTAAAAATTAAATTATATTTTTTCTGTCAGAGTACTGAATACTATACACAATACTCTGCAAGAACAGGCACATGCTAGTTTCTATGTTAATTCTAAGGACTGCACATTATAATACAGTCAAAAGCAGCATCTTCAGAAGCTTTATTTAAGTATATTACAGTATTTCACTTAAATATGGGTAGTAGCTGTTGAATTCCAGACTTGCCAGCAGTTGGGTTATTATGCAATTGTAGAATTTTTGTAAAGGAAGTGCAATGTTGTTGGTTAATAAGAATCCACTGATACACACTTTCAACCCTAACTCTTTCTTAAAGTTTTTGTTGAAGAATATGCCTTTTTTGTCAATAAGCCTTAGGCATTCACAGCAGGGTTCTCCTTTGGCTCTCATCACATCCTAGTCTTGAGAAAAAGGGATTTCAAGTCGTTTCTTCATCCCACAATTTACAAAGATTGTAACATAAAACGGGGATAATAATATTTACTTACCTACCTCTCAGGGTAACTAATGTTTATATATCATTTTGAAATCCTCAGAAGGAAGAATCAGTTTAAGTGACATGCATCATAAAATATTAAATTGTTATGAAAGGAGCTACTGAGATCACAAATGTGTTTTTTGCTATACACAGTAAGGGCTCTAGGCCCAACACATTTCTGTATACGGCACATTCCTGTCACATGTGCAGTGGAAAGATTTGCAACTTTCAACTGTTTCCCCAACTGGGGAAAATTATTCTTAGATAAAGATGGTGGATCTGACTCTTAGCTCTGATAGTCTTCCTCTCCCTGAAGTCTAGGGGCCAAGATTTTCAGAAGTGACTAGTGCTTCCAAGTATATAAATTTTTAGGTACCCATCTGAGACACTTTAAAGGGGCCTGATTTTCAGAACTCAGGTGCTCAGGACTTGCAGACAATCGAGTTTGGGTCTCAACAATGGAGGTACCCCAAATCAGTAGTCACTTTTGAAATTTTAGCCCCCAGTTTTTACTTTGTAACAAGTATAAGGCGGGGGCTAGGCTGCACTTTGTCCTTAATGGATGATCTCTCATGCAGCAGCAGAGCACATCATGGATTCTTTCTGTAAAGCCAGAGACTGCAGGGTTAGGGTGAGAAGAGCGGATTCTGACTGGGACCCCCAAACACATCGTCCTCCGTCCCACCTAGGGTGACCAGAGAGCAAGTGTGAAAAATTGGGACAGGAGGTGGAGGGTAATAGGAGCCTATATAAGGAAAAAAAAACAAAAATCGGGACTGTCCCTAATAAAAATTGGGACATCTGGTCACCCTAGTCTCACCCCAGTCTCACCCCAAAACACACGCCCCTTCCTTGCACATGATACCCCTAAACATCCCCCTCCCCACCCAGAGTGACATCTCCAACCCCCCACCTATACTAACTCCAAACACTCTCCCCTTGCTCACCCACACTGACACCCTCAAACAACCCTCTCCCACGCACAGACATCTACCCTGTAGTGACACCCCCCAAGACCCTTCCCCCCACAGTGATACCCCAATACACAACCCCTCCCAGGACACCCCAAAACCCATACAACCCCTCCCCCATAGACACCCCAAAGACCTCTCCCTGTACAAACCCTTCCCCCACAGACACCCCAAATCCCCTCCCCCACAGACGCCCCAAAGCCCCCTCCTGCTACACAACCCCTCCCCCACAGACACCCCAATACACAATCCCTCCCATAACCCCAAAGCTTCCTCCCACTACACAACCCCTCCCCCCACAGACATCCCAAAGCCCTCTCTCAGTACACAAACCCCTCCCCCACAGACACCCCAAATCCCCCTCCC